TAATGAAATAGAAACAAAATTGTTATTGAGTTCGCATACTGTAATACATATCTTTATGATATTAATTGTATTATTTTAAATAAAACATTTGTTAATAAAAAAAATATTTTTGGAAGAAAAGAATTATTAAAAATTTGTTTACGTGATTTTAGGTTAAGAGACAATGAGGTACATAGGTTTAATTGTTAAAAATTAAAATAAACTATGTTAGTGTAGGATGAAGATTATTTATATTTATATATTGTATATATATATATATATAAAAAATAGTATATATAAATATAAAAAAATAAATAATTTAATTTATTTTAAATAAAGAATAATTGACGTCCACTCAAATGATTCCGCTCAAAATGATACCGAATAATTACATAATCTTTATTATGATTGAATAATATAATTTTGGTTATTTACGGTATTCCATAATATATAAACAGTTGGAAATCATTATTTCATTGAAATAAATAAGCGAATTTTGTATTATAGGAAAGATTGTATTACTGACGAAAATATAATGTATTCATATAACTCAAGTCAAACACAAGTTATTATAACATCGAAATAACGTCAAAGTGATTATTACGTCACTTTCCAATCAACAACTTTTTCATTTTGATGATTCATTTTGACGTTATCGTGTTTTTATTATTCTACTTGGATAGTTTTATCAAAATTAAGTAATAAGCAAACTTAATAAACTATTATTAAATATATGCAAATTTTTTCAGCTTTGTATCATGTTGCTTATGTGTGTTACGAAATTAATTATCATTATCATTCTGTTAAAAAAAAAGAAAGAAAGATGAAAAACAATTTAATTATTTTTATAATCGTAGTTAATAAAAGAAGATCGTAAATTTACAATGGATTTTTTTATCGATTCCTGAGTCTATGATTAAATTTGTGTAACCAGGTAAAAATACATTCTGTATACTAACTGTATATATCTGTGTACTAAAGTCGTATTATATCTTACAAGGAAAGGCATCCAAGTATCCTCCTGTGATTTTGGTGAGCTTTGAATATGTTGTTAAATTGTATTATGAACTAAAATATTATTTAAAAATTTTATTCTGACAAAACTGTCGCGTTATAGCGAATCATTCCAATTACAATTTTTCATGCTGTTATTGTAGAATCATTTAACAATTTGTCTACCGGGAAAGATAGAATCTAATTATAGGTAACGTGATTTGCATAAATGTCATAATGTTTACGGTGCGATTTTTTTATGGCGCGTGCAGCGATGTCAATTAATTTTCTGCATCGGAAAACATCGCACATGCTATCGTCTTATTGTTCTGTAGATTAGTGTTTATTGCTTGATTGAAGGACAAACTTGCACGTTTAATATTGACTAAGTCTCAGTTATTCAAGATTCTGATGAAGGCACAAAGCCCATGATGAATGAATAGATGAATATATACGACATAGATATAAAGCCTGTAAATCCTATTCTATGTATCATTTCGAGACTGGCTTTAGGAAACTGCACAGTGAAGTAAACATTTAAGAAAAATAACCGATTGAATTCGAAGACGAATAATTTCAGGTTAGTTATTTTAGTATATTGTTTAATTTATTAATACTTTATACTTATATACTTCTTGCACTAGACTGCATTAGAACATTTTTTTCTCGCTTCTACGATATATTTATATATATAAATATAT